TCTACTTGTGTACACCCAAAATTGAAAAATATAAATGCTAGCTTAAACCAAATTAAATAACATATTTATGTATTATGTCTTTTAATTAACTAAAAATTAAAAGACCATAAGTTCACAACACAAACCAAAAAAAAGGTCTTATTACACATAATTATCTTTTTTAATACAAAAATTACTAAACTTTGAGATATTAACTAGTCAAACAAAAAATTCAAATTTATTTACATGCATCAAAATAGAACTTAATCCGCGAAATATAAAAGCAAACAAGACCCATAACATTCCCATAATTTTAAATTACTTGAAATTTCATGAAGAAGATCCGTTGAAAACATGTGATTTCGGAGGCCCTCCTTAGAAAATTTGCGATAAATTATTAGTTTCATTCTCAAACTATTCACAACCTTATAAAAAAACTTTTCTACTTAACCAACTTAATTTAGATACACTCTCGATCTGCCACATGACATAGTAACTAGTTTTAAACTCTTGTAGAAGTATGAAACTTTTAATAAAAAGTCGAGAAAAATGTTAAAAACACCTTAAACTTTAAAATGTATTTTACTCATATTGCAAGATGGAGGGTTTTTCAGTACTTCTCTCAATCAAAACTTGAGATTCAGAGATCAAGCTTTCACCAGATCCAAAATTTCACCACCTTACACCATCAGATTCACTTGGAATGAATCTTATCGAAGTGATTTTTGATGGCACCAGTTATGGAAACTGGAAAAGAGAGGAGTGTTATCAACCACAATACTAGAATTTCAAGTTTGACTCGATGGTGTGTGCTAGATTTGTTGGATATTCTTCATCTTATGAAATTTATTTTATCACTATTTTGTCGCTTGAACACTTCGACTCTCGATTCTAGGATAACTTAGTATGTGGAAATTGTGAGGGAATGAATTATTTAATATGAAGAAGCTGGAGTTTTGATTTAATGTACTCCATTATTATTTTGAAAATATAATATACATATTGGAGCATAAAATAAGTCAAAATTTCATGTCTGAATTTTTGCCTAAACAAATTGCAAAAAAGAAAAAGAAATACAAATACAAAGGTAATGAAAGTCTAGGGTATATTTATAAACAAATATTTTATTTTTAAGAAGTATAACATGTTTATTAATTTTTAATTTAAAAAATCAACATCCAAAAAATTAATAATCAAACTTGCATAATTAAATTATACATAATATCAATATGTCAAAATCCCTAACATAATTATTAAAAGGCGAAATGACCTAAGAGACCCTTGTACTTGGTTCCGTTTGTCAGTTAAACCCTCAGACTCATTACTTTGCCAAATGAACACTTAAACTCAATGAAACACTATTTTTAAACCCCAGATGTTTTGAATGTAGATGGGCAAGAACAATGCAAGAAGATCTAGAAAGATGATCAGGATGCAGAGTGCAAAAGGACCGAGTGCATACATGTTTAAGCTGGATAAAAGAGCGATACTGGAGACAATTTAGAAAGGAGTTGACAACAACAATTTTGGGGACAAGAATCTACCACACATGGAAGGCAAAGAACTAGAAACACTTCAAGGAAGTAAATGTAAATACAGAGGTAGTTATTGCATAGATAAAGAAGGAAATCATTGAAAGGATAGAACTAGTAGAAGGCTTTAGAAAAGCTAGAAATGCAATAGTTTAGTTCAGAAAATCTATTTGTTTTTTTACTGATTCTAAGGCTCGAGATGACTAAGAGCCTGTTTGGATTGACTTAAAAAAAGTACTTTTTAAGTCAAAAATAAAAAGTCAAACTGAAATGACTTTTAAGTAAAAAAAAGTAGGGCATACCTACTTTTGATTGACTTATTTTAAGTCAGTTTTGTTGGAAAACTATATGCACAGCAGAAGCATATCAAAATCTTTCTGCTTACATGAATAATAGATAAACAATAATCGTTTATGTTAGAACACATAATCATGCTAGAACACATAAACTTGCTGAAATTTAATTTGATAAATACCTCTTGAAGCGTAAGCAGATACCTTCAAGTGAATCCACAAGATAGACAACAACTATGATCTTCTATAGTGATCCCAAGTTCACATTCGAACTCTCTCAATACTTGGGTGGGCAACTATCGTTAGAAAACTAATCAATCTTTCTAAGGTTAGAAGAATCCCTAATTATAGAGATTTCTTCCCAATACAAAGAGGAGAACAAAACACAGTCTATTTTCTTCAACCAGAAAAATATGCGACTGTTTTCTTTTTAAAAGAAAACTCACGCTAGTTTCCTCTTTTCCCTTAGAATTAGGATTCTGGGTTCTAGTTAAATATGGGCACTGTAGGGACCACAAAATTAATTACTGAGGCTTCCTATTATGGAAATAATTTCAAATAATTAATTTGAATTTATTCTTATCATAATAAATTACAAATCATTCCACTAGAAATTCGTAATTGCACTCCTCTATTTATATTTCAAAATTCCCCATTAAACACTTATGTAATTTCCCATGTTAGGATTACAGATACTAATCAATAAGTGAAATTACTGACGAATTTAACTTAATGATTAATTTTCTTTAGAGGACTACTTAACTTATTTCATGTGTCAGATTCATAAATTCACTTGCAAGGTTTGACACGATGAAAACTTATAAGTTTCTCAAAAAAGGCATATCAATCAATCTCTATAACGAGACATGGATTCCATCAACTAACTTATTATTTCACAAAAAGATCTCTTTCACCAATATATATTATTATCATCCAATCTACCAAGCATATTGACCCATCTCAGAATCTCACCTTTTAATAAATCAAAACGATAATTAATATATACAGATCATAATAGTTATATTAGGATTAAGAATATAAGTACATTTAAGTTTTAGAGAATATGTTTTAAGAACATATTCTCTAAACTTTATACTTATAAGAACTGATGATTTAATTCTATGTGTATAAGCCAAAACTCTACACACTAAATCATCTACTATATAAGTAAACAGACACCATAAACGAATATATGATCTATTTAAAATTGAGCAAATATTTATTCTATAATAAATATTATTTCTTAACATATGGTTAATAGTATATATCCCAACAAGTTTTAACTTATTTTAAGTCATTTTTATCTTGCCAAACACTTTCTAACTTATTTTAAGTCATTGTTACTTATCTTAAGTTATTTTTTATATTTGCCAAACACTTTCAAAAGTCAAAAGCTGACTTAAAAATAGGCTTGACTAACTTTTAAGTCTATCCAAACACCCTCTAACACTTAGGTTATGATTCCTTGGAGTGCTCTTTACGAGTTAAATTGGTTGTCTATGGTAATCTTTTTACGATTTACCAAAAAAAAAAACTCAATTATTAACAAATTTTTTTTATGAATTTTGTACAATATACTACGACTTGAATTCATGCTCAATAGCAATGGTAGCTGCGTAGATGGGTAGTCTTTGAAGAACATCAAAGATAAATAAAGAGGGAAACTTCATCCTTTGTCTACATTATATCCCTAGGAGCTGGAACTAGCAACATTATATTGCAGAAGCTGAGACTATGATTTTTGGACAAAGGTTTTGATATGGCTAAGTCGTGGAGTTATTTGAGCCAAGACTTTCAATCTCTTCTATGAACTTCCCAATAACATAACTTGTCTTGTCTGGTCAATATGAACAAATGGAGCTTAATTACCAACACTTAAGATTAAACAAGCAAAACTTGTCAATATCATATATATATGATCCTTCCATCTAGGGGTGTCAAATGAGCTGGTTGAGTTGAAGTTTGAGATATTAAAATAGATTGAAATAGAAATTGAGTTGGGTCTTGACCCGCCCAAGTTTACTTTGGGCTCAAATGAGCTAAAAACCGGGTTGGGTCTTGAAACACCCAATTTGACCCGATTAATCTCAATAATTTTAATATAGTGATATTTAACTTTTATAATCACAATTTAAATTTCAGCTCAAGATTATTTTTTTTTTAAAAAGTAACAAATGGATAGATAAATCCTAAAAGATGTTAAATAGATAATAATTCATACCTTTAATATAGGAACATATTATTTACATATCTTAGTAAAGAGTTTTAAAACGGGTTAAAGTTGGAGATTGAATTGGGTTGTAAAAATTAGGCAAATGACATAGTATAAGAAAGAAACTACTTCATTTCCCTACTCTTTCATTAATTACCAAAAATCCCCTTTTTTAGTGTTTTTCGGATACATAATATAGCAGTGTGGATACTTAATATAGCAGCGCAGATACTTTAATTAATAACGGACGGATACTTAAATTATTAAGTTGTTAGCAGCACAGATACTTAATTAACGGGCGGATGCATTATATAGCAGCGCGAATACTTTAATTAATAACGGGCGATACTTAAATTATTAAGTTGTTAGCAGCACGGATACTTAATTAACGGGTGGATGCATAATATAGCAGCGCGGATACTTTAATTAATAACGGGCGGATACTTAAACTAATAAAGTATCCGGTTAAGTTGAATTGGGGGAAAATAAGGGATTTTTGTATTTTAGTAAAAAAGTAGGGAAATATTGAGAATAGGTAAAGAAGTGTTGTGTATTTAAGTAATTTTTCCAATTCACACATACCTAGCTCTAAAATAAGGGCATAAGTGTCAATGACCCCATGCTACTATGTTTCCCCACTACTACATGGGCTTTACATATCTTTTTCTCATAGGTGGGCTTATAATTACATTAGGTAATAATAGTCCATTGTTATCTTCTTGACTCACAAAAAAGACAAAAGAAAAGACACGTCATATATCCTTGTAATACAATGTAAGAAACATTTTCAACCGTTTGATTATTTTCCTATCTTCAATCTTAAGCCACTCATCTACTATGAATATACTCTCTTTTTTCCCAAATATTCTTTGTTCTTAATTCCCAAGTTATGAGTACATGGTAGCAATTTTTCAACTGTGCTTTTGAAGCTGACACTCCTTCTTTCTTGTAGGGACATCTCTAGAACTCTCTCTCTCTACTTTCTCCATGGCTACTCAAAGCTTCAACCAGTTCCCTTCATACCCTGAGGTAAAAACTAGATTTCAAGATTTCAAGATTTCAAATTTCCTCTTTTTTAAAGCATCTAATTGTTAACATTTTAAGCTCAAAATCATCTTTTAAGGTTCTTTATGTTATAAAGATTTGATCTTTTTACTCATATATCAGTGTTTTTTCCTTAATTCTAGATGAAAGATGCAATCTTTGAAGATACATGCAAGAACCCTTTTTTCTTTGACCTCATTGTAACATAAACACAAAAAAGATTCTAGCTTTTTGCTTTTTTTTCTGGGATTAGTGGTTGTAAAGTTTGAGGTTTTGTAACTGTAAGAACCCCAAATGAATTTTTGTTTTTTCCCCCCAATTCCCTAGTTGTTTTTGTTGAAAAAGAGAACAAATGATAATCAAGAATGCATTTTTTTTTGTTTGTTTAATAGATCTGCATATGTTTGTTTCTTGAAAAATGAAGTTTTGGTTGTTTTACAGATGATTTATGAAGCCCTTGATGAACTAAATCAAGAAGGGGGTGCAAACAAGTCATCGATAACTAAGTACATTGAAACAAAGTATGGAGATCTGAATGAGGATCTTTCAAAGATGCTGCCTTTACATTTGGACAACATGAAGCAAACTGGAGACCTGATTTTCCTCAAGAACAATTACATGAAACCTGGTCCAGATGTTCCAGCAAAGAGGGGTCGTGGTAGGCCACCAAAACCCAAAGCTCCATTGCCACCTGGTGCTGTTGAATCTGTTGAATCTGCGCCACCAAAGCCAAGAGGGCGCCCAAGAAAAGACCCTAATGCACCACCTACTTCCAAGAAGCCAAAGCCAGCACCTGTTCCTGGAGGTCCCAATTCAACAGATCTTGGTTCTACTACTGGGAGGCCTAGGGGTAGACCTAGGAAAGTTAGGCCACAGCCTGCTCATGATGATGATGATGATGTTGAGGAAAGCTGAAAACTTTAAGGCTTGTTATTGGACTCTTGCTGATGGTGATGACTCTAATGACTTAGTTGTCTTATTATCCTCTTTTTTTTAGGTATTAGTAGTATTATCTTATGTAATAGTTTTCAGTTTGAGTTGCCCTAGTGTGACTAGGGGGTCATGGTTTCAGAGCTAAGATTGCGTAGAATAGACTAATTGTGGTCTCGGTTAGAGTTATTGTTATGTGACTAGGAGGTCATGGTTTACAGTGTGCAATAGACTAATTGTTGTGGTCCGGTTCTTTCCTGAACCCCGCACATAGTGTTAGCTTAGTGCACTGGTCTTTTTTATTAGTATTGTTTTCTTGCTTAATGCCCCTATTAGTTCTAGTAGATGTGGTTATAAGTTGTTAGGGGATTGTGTACTTGTGTTAACTCTTTGTTTCAAGATTCACTGTGTAATTGTTGCACTTTTCACTATGTTGATGCTTCTTTTTGTTAACTCTTGTCTCTTTACTAATATGAAATTCAAGGTTTGATGGGCAAATTTACAATTGAAACTTTTTTATGGAGTTGGTTCTTGATGGTGACTACTAAAGTGATGAAGCTCAAGCTGAAAAAAGAAGAAAAAAGAATAGATTCTTGGTTAAGTGTTGAAATGAAGACATTGTAGTGGATAACATGTTTTTGTTGGGACAAAAAACATCATGTGTACGAACTAGATTGTCTGTGTTTGAAGACATCATCTCTTATCCATTGAAAAATGTTTTATAATCATGTCTTTGTCATAAAAAAGGTCCCACTTGGGGTTGGAATCTTGATCTATTATGACAAGTCCTTTGATGACTCCTGGTGGGAGTAGCAGAGTGTTGGAATCTTCTTATGTGTCTGGAGTGAATAAAAGGGTGTAATTGTTGTTGGTGGAATGAAGAATATATTGTTTAGAATTTTTTTTTAAGTGGTTGTTGGGTGTGCGAATAAAGTATAATATCAGATGTTAATAAGAAAAATAATCTATATATAGGGTAGGAACACACTTAACAATGTGAAGTTTTTATAGGAATTATAAAGCTTATTCTAAAATGGATAATGTTACATTACTAAAAGTTAGTTGTCACTGCTAGCCACAACCAATATACTCAACTATAAGTACAATCGCTGTCCATCACCATAATCAGTTGTTATCAATACTAATCATTCATTATCACAAAAGAGAGCCACCAACACCACTTATAATCACTATTAGCTATCAGTATATATCGACAATCACCATTATTGACTATTATTGTCATCAACACAATTATTAGCTACCACCATCAACCATCGTCGCTAACTATGATTGTTAGCCATCATTACCAATATTCATCCTCAATTGGATTTTATGTATATCAAATAAAGACAAATTTTATACGTTTAGAGAAAACAAACTGTCATAATAATTTTGATTTCAATACAACATCTTAATATTTCAATGTATATTCAAATTTAGGCATCCTAATCAAACAAATGAGGCCTTAGTCTAAGAACATATTATTCCGTGGGACGAGCACATAGATGCAAAGAGTCTCTTATGTTGCAGCCCATGAAGAGAGAAAGAACAACACAACGGAGCGATATCATGGAACAAGCCAATTTACTACCTTTGCTCATAGCGAAAACAAACGTAAATAGAAGGTGCGAGTTAAAATAGCCCTAAATACTTGAATAATGTGAGTGACACATAGTAAATTTTCAAATAAACCCATGAATGCAATCAATCACATGGTACTTATATGCGCATAACTCTATCTATCTACTAAACGGCCCTATAGAGTTTACAAAAACTCCAAACTCAGCTTTCCTAAATTTTCATAGAAGCGCCATATTTACTTTTGCTATATTTGAATCCACCAACAGTACTATTCCTAATAGTACAAATGGTCTTAAATTTGCTAATGGCCTACCTTATCATGTATAGTTTTTAAAGACAGTAGCAACAGTAGACATTGAATACAAATAACAAACTCAATAAATATAGATAAGGGTTACTGTAAAGTTAGAAAATTGGCACATGTTAAGCACCAGGACCACCCCCTAGTTTTTCATTTTTATTTTTTTTTTAAATATCTTTTAAACAGAAAGATGCTGGACAACATGATGGCCCATCATTAAAGTCTCATCTTAGTACATTTTCTTTAGAATCTTTGCCATGGTTGTCATATTTATTTGACTCTAGGGACCACAAAGCATATGCATCATTGTTTCACCATTGCCATTTTATGGTGGAGTGATAAGCACTCCTTCATTCTTAATCAAAAGTCTCGGATTCGACTCCCTATGAAGTCACTTTTGTTAGGGAGCGCTTTACCCCTCAATCTGGCGTGAATCGGATTTAGTCAGACTCCAATGTGAATATTAGACACCGAATGAGAAACCAAAAAAAGTACTCGTTACTTTCTCTGGAAATCATAAATTCAAGAAGAAAGGAGAACATGGTTCAGGGGGAAATTAAACTAGTACTAGTCAAAAAAAGAGAAAAAGAAAGCCCAACATTTCAAAGAAGGATGATACATATTATTAGTGACCTCCTACAATAACATATGTAAGTGGTACGTGAATGATGGCAGTCTTATGCAAAAATCTTTCCTTTTTTTTTTTTGGCATGATACAAAGATAGACACTTTAACTTGACCTCAACCGGCAACTAAATACCCCAACTTTCATTTGACCATCTAGCCACTTCAACTTGACATAAGTGTGTCTCACGACCATCTTAATTTTGAAATGCACATCTAGACACGTTTAAAGGGGTGCATTCTAGATGTGCATTCTCAAAGTTGGGGTGTTCACGGGCAAACTTAATAAAGTTAAGATGTTTAGTTGCACATTTTCAAAGTTGGGTGTTCCGTGGCTAGTTAAGGCCAAGTTAAGGAGTCAGTATTATGCCTACTTTTTTTTTTTTTATTACTCCTAACTAGTCACGATTTTACAGCCACTTGAAAATACACTTGTAAAAGAGGGGATATGCTTTGACCTTTTACCCCAAGGATTGAACTTGGCTAACAGTTTTTTTGATGACAAGGGAAACCTGCAGCCGCTATCCTTTGGGTGCGCACAGGGTAAAACCCCCGCTGCTATGCAATAGCTCACAAACCACATAGGAGAGGTAACCCGCACTAGGCAAGCCCGGTGCGATGAGCTCGACCCAAAAGGCAAACCCCTTGCTTTCGTTGGCAAGGGGTTTCTAGCTTGAGACCTCCAACATGGAAGTCTTAATCCCAAACTATTGGGTCACCCCGAAGGGTAACTTGGCTAACAGTTTTAAAAGCTAAAAAGCTAACTGCAAAAAAACTAAATACAAAGAGACTATTAAAGCTGAAAATTCAAGGTGGTTCATACGTAAGGATGCTATCGGTATTTAACAGGCCTCTAATCTGTCCAAGTAGAGCTCCATAAGTATTACTATATATACAGAGTTCTTCTTGGTTGTGACTAAGAGATGCCAACTTGTCAACAACTCGATTGGCTTCTCTGTAGCAATGTTGAGTTCTAATGTCATAACTCTCACACGATTGCTAAGACAGATGAACATACAATCAAATATCCGTCAAACGTAAGAAGCATAACATGGCTAGATATTGTTTCAAGACAGGACACACCTGGAATTTTGATCTAGAGGCTAGAGCAGCATCACATAGCTGGAAGAGAAAATACATAACTCAATCACATTGACGAAAAATGCATTTCTAATTTGAGTATCTTAACCGCAAACATACCTGAATCGTGGAGCGATAGCTCTTCCACACGCAGGATTCCTGGATTATTATGTCCGACTTTCATCTTTGTTTGACCAATTGGTCTCAGTCATTTTATTCAAACAAATACAGAGCCAAAATGGATGGATACTTTTGTGTCTATTGCCAGCTCTTCCTCCTGAATCAAAGATCTATCATTGAGATAGACAGGGTGATAGCGAGTTGGCATTAACAGTAAATTAATTCCGTTGGAATATGGCTTTCAGTAACCTGGGGAGCTTTGCAGTGACCTCTGATGGTGAGGTGCAGAATAGGTTTTCACATCTAAATTGGGAGCCCGAAAAGGAATTTTTATACGAATCAGATAAAGCTCTAAATCATTGGACTACATAAAAAGAAATGCTTAAAAAGTTCACTAACTCCTCAAACTGAATTGAAAGCCTCTAATGACATCGTTTACTTGTCTAACTGTCTTCATCACTAGTTTGGTATTCTAATAGGAAAACATGCATATTAACGAGAAATATTACTACTGTTTCAACATATTTGGTTGGAAACCTGAACCACTACAGTGTACTTAGGCAAGGAACAGGAACAATGAATTCAAATATATGGACAAGGACCGATATTTCATCTTCTAGAGAAATAGCACATTTCCATGGCATCGAAGAGGCAAACTTGTTTAAACTTAGCCATCCATCATAATTGGATGATCAAGAATTACTCATCCCAGAAAAAACAGTCAACAATGTGACAGGAAAAAACTTACAATGTTAAGGGACAACAAATTGAGAGGATAGCATCAGAAAACCAAATGAACATGATTCTACAGGGAACTATAGCACAAAGAATATTTGCAACCGTACTTATGATGGGGCTGCATATTGTACATCAACGGTGGCTCGCGTACAAAAAGAAGAATTTTTACAGGGCTACAAGGATACAAAAGAATTATAAGTTGTTGGAACATGACTAATGCTTTTATCAATCATACAACAATCATACACAAAAGAGAGAAAAAGCACCTTGGAACAGAGTTGCTACTCGGGACCAGTTGATTCTCTCTTTAATAGTAATTTCCCAGATTCGTCTCTAATGAAAAGCTTTTCAACTACTTTACGCCAGTTAGTTCTTCCATCACTTCCCTGGGCTTCGCTTGTGGATGCTTCTTCATCGTGTTTTTGAGATGCCTCAAAAGTTATATCCTCCATGGGTTCTTCCTCTTTTTGTGTTGAGGATTCCTCTTCCCCTACGCCCACAGCGTGTGGTATATTTAAACTGACGGCTCTTTCGATTGCATCCTTGTGCTCTTTTTCTAATGTCTTCAGTCTTTCAATTTTCTGCACTTTAGGGGGAGAAGTGGTGGTCTCCGCACTAGCCTCTTTGCTTGTGGATGCTTCTTCATCGTGTTTTTGAGATGCCTCAAAAGTTATATCCTCCATGGGTTCTTCCTCTTTTTGTGTTGAGGATTCCTCTTCCCCTACGCCCACAGCGTGTGGTATATTTAAACTGACGGCTCTTTCGATTGCATCCTTGTGCTCTTTTTCTAATGTCTTCAGTCTTTCAATTTTCTGCACTTTAGGGGGAGAAGTGGTGGTCTCCGCACTAGCCTCTTTAAGTCTCTGCATGGACGTATTTCCTCAACAAGATCAAAGTCTTTTCAACACAAGAGGATTCATTTAGCCTACCCCAACCGATTTGGGATTGAGGCACAGTTGATGTAACCACTAAAAGAAAATGATAATGACTTGCACACATGCAGATATATGCTGGTTCTGCTGCTATGCTCTTCGGGGATCTTAAAATTGAATATTTTAATGGAAAACGGACATTCTAGTACCACTATATGCCGCATGTAATCCAGATGGTGAGTAATAGCGTATTTCTAGACTTATCAATGAAAGGCAATGGTTACACTTTGTTTAGGGAATTAAGAGAAAAGCCGGAAGCTTTTATAGGTCGCAAAAGTTACACTTTGATGCAAAAAGCTACACCTTCTTACAAAGGAAATCCTTGGAGTAATTACTAGTTCCCAAAGGCACATATATTTAGTTCTTTTTTTTTACGAAGACAGTCACCCTCTTACTAATGACAAAATGACTAGGTTCATGCTTTTGTCGTTGAAATTTTAGTGCGATAAAGTCAAGACATTTATTCCTTACATATTCCATCCTAGAATGTAATCATAGATGACCAACTACAGTTTTCTTTTCAAAGTTCAAGGAATATTGATGCTACTTACTGCAAATGCCTTTTCAGATTCTTTTTCTATCCACATGATCCCATGGTCGGATAGAGAGTTGCATGACAACACAATCTGTTCAAATCTTCCGTCAACGGGGATTGCAGTTCTAACATCTGGAGGGTACCTCCCACATCTGTCAAGAACAAAATTACACACCAGGAGTACTCAAGCTTCACCGTTGTTGAAATATCATAACAAAAATGAAGCAAAGATTTAGAGCTACAATCACATCCAAGAAGTCGGTGAATTAAAAAGTTCTACTTGTTAGGGAAACATTTTTTTATTTACTGATAATGAAATCCGGAACAGTGGGAAAATACCATGGTCTAATTTGAATATACTTTGCCATAGCAGCATTTGTACAACAATTGTACATGCCTAAGCATGTTCGGATATTGTGCTGACAGTTATGTGAAGAGAATATACAATAGAATCAGAAGACATGATGAATACACAACATACAAGCAGGAAAATTTGTTAGGTAGCTAGATCCTGGACGAGAGATAACTGAACCAAGAATCTATTCTTACTGCTTAAGGTTCTTATTGCCCCCATTTGAAACCAACTCATGTTGCACTTTAGGGAGAAGAACAGGAGAGTATAATCAGATTTATTATGTTTAAATTAAAGGTAACTAAAGCAATGAGACTTAATGCTGCAAGCTGATTGGTGACAATGAAAAAGAATTGAAACAATTACTACAAACTGCTTTTCTGCGCAAAAATCCACCATCTCTATTTTACTTTAATTTCTTTATCTTCAAACCAAATATAGGAATGCAGCACTTCCAATGTTTCGTAGTGGTATTCGTAGTGGGCTTCATCTTTTTATGTGAGATTGATCCTATTCTGCAATCTTCTATTTAATATGCTATAGGATATACAAATGACGATGCATTTCATATGGAAGTTCTCTATCACATCTGCAATATATCAGGGACCTAAGCATATCCTAATCCAAGCATCTAACTAGATGAGGGGAAAGAATAATGGCGAGATTGATAGTTGTGCGAACACAGTTTAAGAGCACATGACCAATTCATGATCGAGTATAAGAAGTTAAATAAATAGTAAGACACTAAGACCATTTCCATAAGAAAATTCATTTTGGAGATCATAGCCACCAGATGTTTGGAATGACTCATACTAGTTGATAGTGGCAAGGATCAGACCCCACCCAACACCAATTCAATAGACCTATGACCCAGGCTATGAAACTTAAACACGGAATCAAGATAACAGAATATTTAAAAAGAATGAAACATCATCACGGAACTGAGGGAGCCTATAATTTGTAAAGAAGACAAAGTTAAAGCACACAATGACTACAAGCAAAGTTATGCAACTCTGTGAAACTATTCGACAGAGGTTTCTTTTATTATATATAATCATTAGTTTGCATTACTTTTGACTGTTTGACAGAACAAGCCAAACTAGTATCACTCATTTGAATGTGGTTTACCTGCAAAATCTTCTTTCTACAATATGATACATTCGGCCAGGCGCATAAAGTCTCCTTGGATCTCGGAGTTTTCTGCCATCAGGGATGAAGGTATCTCTCAAGCATATCAAAAATATCAGGCAGGGTAAACTGTTGAAAGCATTAATGCCTGATATAAGAGATAATTATAGCAATCACTCAAAGGCAGAACATAGAGAACTCAAGGGCATTGTTATGCACACACAGAGTGTATAAGAATTGTACTAACCAGAAGATGGATTTAAATATGTCTTCAAGTGGTGTGGCTGTTCTTGGCAGGAAATCATCCTGCAGAAAAAAAAATCATTGTACCATTGTTAATTCACATTGGTAACTAAAGAGAAAGCAAACACACATATAATTATATTCACTATCCAGGTCCTTTTGTGGTTTCAAGGCTAAAATTTTAGTCTTAAGAATTCAAGCAAGATAAATAGCTGCAAACAAGAAACTTCTGAAGTTCGCAAATATGATCAGAGAATAACAGTGGAAAAGATTCCCGTTATTGTGGACAAATATTTTAGTGATATATCCCAACTGATTTCTCATAAATTAAAAAAAAAAAACAAAGAAACAAGATATCCCAACAATTGCACTGAACGGTTTAAAGTTTAACTAATCAGTAGCTGCAAGAATGAGCAAGACATTAGCTCATCCGTAATTAACCTGTATTCTGAGCGTAATGTGACAAATTTATCATTAGCAACTAAGCTATCAGCACAGTCGGAATTAACCTGTATTCTGAGCATGATGTGATAATTTCGTCACCAAAGATCTTTTTCGGTCCTTCAAGATATTTTGTATAAAGAGAACGACAACCAATCCTCTGAGAGTGGTACACAAAAATGACCAAGGTGGATCTTATCCTAAAGGAGAAGGATGAGGAGTAGGCATTAGCTTTAGCAGTGGAGTCAAATGTTTACGAGATAAACAATGAGACAAAGGACAACACTTAAACAATTTAATTTGACTAAACGGCAGCCTGCTGGTAGGAATTCCACAGGATACCCTTTTTTCATCTAGGGTGTGGATCAAAGGGATTACGGCGAAGAACTGCTCTAATGCAGCACTTCGTCAGTAGGAATTATAGAGAGGATAGAATATAAGCCTAATTGTTCTTTATAAAATCGCTTCAGTACAATGGACCAGGGGTCAGCCAGAGAAAGCGAAACACAATAGAAGAGTTGTTTCGCTGCAGAAGATCCTCTAATCAACTACAACTACCATCAGCAGTTCATGGAGGGAAGCACAAAGCTAGTTAACTCCCAGTCAAAAAAGAGGAATAAGGAAGGAAAAGAAAGAGGATATTGCTAAAGAAATGCAACAACAACCCAAGTCATTGCATTGTAAATTCACCAGAAGCGCTCTTTTGTCTGTTCATTTATCACCAAAAAAAAACAAAGAAACAAGTAGGTCAGTAAAACCTTGCCAAGGAAAGAAGCCATCTAATTCATTGCATAGCATACACATTCTGACCACTCACAATCTCCGATTTTATTTTTTCTTCTTGCTACTCTTTATTTTTGTCTCTTTGAAAGGTGAAAATTCCGGTTAGTTCCACTACAGTGAACCAAAGGGTGTTTCAATCATCTCATCCTTGATATGATCATATGAATACCTTTTGTTTATAGTTTGCTCCTCAAACGCTAACATACGACACGGACAGTCAATAATCAATTTGTTGTAAATCAAAGGAAAGATACACTAATCATTAATATTTGTTCTCTACGTAACATTTGCTGCCTGCTTATCCTCAACTCAGTACATTATCTTATTCTATCACCATCCTAGTCCATCTCTCAATCACAGAGAAAGCTACAAAAGGACCATGCATTAAAAGAATCTTCATTAAGTGCTACTTTAGCGGAATCCCTTATGGGGTATGCTCTTTGGATAGATCACCTTAAGGCTATGAAGGCCATTCAACGATAGGCGAGCTAATTCATACTATGCCCAAGATGAGCAAGAAAATAAGTTGATTTTGGCTTTGCATAAGCATTCTTACCATGTGTGTATGCCACATATAAAGATAGCGTCTTTCTATTCAAATTACAAATATAATCTAAATATTTTCTTAAAAATACAAATTCATGTTACATCTGCACTCATTGATTTAAAATTTTGAATTAGCTTTGACACTCACCTGCAATATGACTGAGTGTATTACATCAGCATACTTAACAGCCAAGTTGAGTGACATACATCTTGCTGGTGCAACTGCATAACACCTAACAAGATTCCTTGGAACCCCGCCTAACCTATCTTTATGATTCACCACAATTATTGTTAGCAACGACGCCACACCAGAACCCAAAGAATGCCCTGCGAAATAGTGGCAGCAAAATCAACCATTTCTTAGTAATCCACCCGATCACTCAAGTTTAAATAAGTTTCGGCTGGTTAAAATGCAACTCAAATCCAAAAATCTAATTGTATTGAGATTGGAACTAGTGTAAATTTAGAAGAACTTAATCTAAGGGCCTCTTTTGGTTATCGATTTGAAATTATGCTGATTTGAAGTTGAAATTTCGTAAGTTGTATTTTTTTCTTATTAATATGAAAACCCCATAATGTGATAAAACTATCAAAATTTCTCCAACTCTTATACAATCTTACCAAATAAGCAAATCATAGTTCACAAATAAGGTATCGAAATATCCTAACGCACCGAACTAATAAATCACACATCTCCATATTCCTTTTATAAATAAATATATGCGGTTGGTTACATGTTATTACAAACTTTCAAATACACATAATCTTACAAAATTCACTAGTCTAATATATCTACAATAGTAATAACTAGATATTCTTTGATTAGTGGTGGATCTAGAATTTCCAGTTAAGAGGTTCAAAAAATAAAAATATAATGCCTAAGATTAGAACTTTAAAGTCAAACCTCTTGATGAGATCAAATCATGGGTCCTTTTTTTTAATGGTAAAATATAAATTTATAGATTCTTTTAAAAAATTGAAATGATCAAGTTGAAATTTTACCTGCAAATATCATTTTGTAGCTCCTTCCATTGTCAATCCAAAGCTTACTCAAAGTTTCAGACTCATTATTCAAAACCCAAATAGCAGATTTCAACAACCCATGATGTACATACCCACCATCAAACATCTGTTTCCCCAATCTATTATCCAACAATACTTTGTAATCACTTTCACTCAGTAAATTCAACCCCCGAATAGCAAGCACAATCTCCTGATGCTCGTGATCACAGTAGATCAAATACGGCGGTGCCTGGCCGGAGGTTTGTTCATACGTGACCCGTTTTACAACCCAATCCGGGTTTAACCGGTACCCGCCCGGCGGTGGGAATTTGGGTTTATGGAGATTTGGTTCGTATACAGCTAAAATTGTACGGCAGAGACGGGGAACTGGCTCGAATTCCTCACATGTTGCTGCCGGCCACGTGGCACTGTCGTTGTTTCCGATGTAGGTGCAGCGCTTCCATGCCCAACGGATACAACCAGCTACCAATACACACTCAATTCCGCAAGCAACTGACATTGTGTTAATTGAGCTTCAATAATGTGGTGATAGTGCGATATGAAATTAGTGGTTAAAATTGTTCACCAATAGAAATTTTAGTAGATTGACAATGAAAATGAAAATGAAACTGAAAGTAAAAGAAAATTTCTGATATTATTGTTTAAAGGCTATAAACGAACTGTATTGTTTCCGTTTGAATTAGCACTCCTTCCCGTCTTAAATATTATCATTTTGGTTAGTCGAATAAACTACTTTCTTCATCCTAATTTATCTAATTTATATTTATTAAAAAAAATGACATATTTCTTTTAGTAGGTTAAAAATATAATTTTAATTTTTCCATGTTTTATGTTTATTTAACGTAATAAAATTAGAGGTCATTTTGATATAACTTTAATATAGGAATATAAGATTAAAAAGAGTTTTCTTTATTTTTTTTTAAAATTGTGTTAAGTTAAATTAAGTCAATCTTTTTTAAATGGAGGAAGTGTGAATCACTTTCCTTTTTTGTCAGTTTTAAAAAGAATGACATATTTCTCTATTTTTAGTAATAATTTAATTTTAAAATATTTATTTTGCTCTTAATTAAATGATTTATAGTCAAACATAAATATATCACTTATTTTAGACTATAAATTTTAAAAGTCTTTTTTTTTCTTAAATTTCGTGTCAAAACAAACTACACGAATATTAAAAAAATAGCAATATTATCGTTTTGTTCAGATCTAGTCTTACTGTTTTAATTAGTGAAATATTAAAAAACAAATTAAAATAATGTAGGTAGGTACTCTTATGATATTTGTTAAGAGGTTTAAATATATAGTAGGGTTAGAATTAATTTAATTAATTAATCGTTTTGGTTGTCCTCACATGAGCATTAAAAGGCTCATTTTTTTTAATATTTACCTTTGTCTGATATGCACTAACCTAATCTTGATTATTTAATGAACTAATCTTAATTATTTAATGACCCGGAAGACATGTTCCCCACCACATGGTTAATTTAGGCTTTTTTGCATCTTTGATACTAGAATAAAAAAATACATGTATTTATGCACAGATATATTACATATTTGATACTGAATATCGAATATATGATAGTAGTGATGATACTCGAGATATTTGATACATGATACATTGACAAAATTGATATCGAATGACTGGATGAAATTGATATTGAATATTCACACATCACATGAAATTGATACTGAATACATTGGTACATGAGATTGTGAAACTCATATACATACATATATAAAGAAGGAGAGGAACACGAGCAAGAGAGAGAGTTTGTACATCTAGATATCTAAAATAAATTACACGCATGTAGTTGATATACACGTAACTATTCCGTCAAATACATATATATATATATATATATATATATATATATATATATATATATATACACAATGTTTTTTCTGTTTGAATTGTTATTTTAGTGTGTAACGGAAACAATCAACGATCAACACACACTCAACCCCCACAAGAAACTGACATCAATCAGTAGTGTTAGGTCAACTTCAATTAATACTCCACAACAACAATTTGCAATTATTATAAGGATAACTCAATAAATTAATAGTCTGAAGTCTTTTTTGAAAAAGAAAAAAAAGTAAAATTATGTTCTGGATTTTTCAAAAGAAAGTTGGTGAATTAGCTGGATTGAAAGATTTATTAGTATTTTAAGTGGATTTGACAGAGGACACAGGAAAAAGTAGGAAAAATAAAGTGTATAGTTCATAGAGGATTCTGGTTCTTGTCTTAAAGGTCTCATCAGAAGGCAGGTTTTTTTAGGGGTAATTAATTAATGACAATAGTTTAATTAATGTTAAATATGTATTTTAATGATAATTAGCACTCTTGTAAATGTCTCTAAAGTTTCAATGAAAATTAATTAATGTGAATAAAGATTTTAATACTCTTTATTAAATGTGTATATTTATTACTGCAAAAAGTTATTTTTGTTATAGTATATTCCGTTACATGTGATGAATTGATCAACAACTGTTTCTGTTTGAATTATTTTGTCGAATAGTTTTAGCATTTGACTTTGAAAAAAAGAAGAAGAATATTTATGATTTTGTTCAGATCTATTCTTACTGTTTTAATTAGTGATACAAGTATTAGATGCCATTCTGAAGAGGTTTAGAAAAATGTATAGAGTAGGCTTAGAATTAATCAAATTAGTTAATCGAAATCAACTTCTTTAGACCTACTTATATGAGGTTATATTAGATATATATGTTATTTATCGTAGTTAAGTTTGATTATTTAAGGAATCTTCAAAATTTATGATTTGATAATTGTTAGGTTGTTAGCATTTTAATATTAATATTTTGTATATTAATTTGCTAAAGCTTAGTGTTGCCATTGCTGCCAATCTTTAGTGACATTTCAGTTTGCAACCGTTGAAATGTCATGATTGCTACATCACTATATTGCATTACTCCATTGGCAGTAAGTGCATATGTTACAAACTTTTGGTGCAGCATCTAAGGTCTAAGCCGTTGGTGGCTTCTAGCTTTTCATCTCATTTACTTATTCACTCTTTATTCCTCCATTATACATTATAACATATGTAACTCCTAAGACCATTATCTGCACTATTTACTACCCCATTATCTTCTTATTCATTGCTAGGAAGACCTCTTCTACTATAAATAGTGGTGGTCTTCATTTGGTTTGGTACTTCACAATATACAAGGAAAATATAGAATGCATAAAGTTTGTCAAAAAGAGAGTTCTTATTAGTTGAAGGGAGGTGCTTTTTTTTGTGGAGCTTTGGACTCAACTCTTGTCCAGAGTTGTTGAGTTATACTTTGTGAAGGTTGCTGTATCCTGAAGGGGACAAGTCAAGAAGACTACTGCTGGACCGGTGAAAAACATTTGCTGCAGTGGGCTTGAATCTCCTTAAAGTGAGCAAGATATCCGCACCTCAGCCTGAAGATATTTATTTCTTCATTTTATTTTCAATTGTAATCTTGTAATTCTGTTATTTTATAATTTTTCACTAACAATTTAAAGGAGATTCAAAATGACTACAATTGAAAAAACCACGAATGTCAAGATGGTGGGAGACCTTAACAAGCCATTTCGATTCAATGGTAACCATTTCAAAAGATGGAAGGTGGAAAAGTACGATGGTGAAGAGGCAAGGGGCCAAGATGTACTTTTACAAACATAAGAGAGCAACATCACAACGAAGGCAAGTTTAATTACTTCAAATAATGCTACTCTTGAAACTCACAAAAATACTTCTTTGAAGCCTAAGAAGAAAAAAATTAAGAAAAATAATAGTAGACCTCCCAAGAAAAATAATTGTAAAAATAACCAAGCACAAAATCAACAATTTCAAGATAAGGGACTGTGTTTTGTTTGTGGCAAGAGTGGGCATATTGCTCGATTTTGCAGATTCCAGAAATATGTTCCTAACCCTCAGGAAAACGTTATCAAAGAATCTTTTGTGGCGGTGACATAAACATGGTTGAAAGTGTTGATGGATGGTGGGCTGATTCTGGTGCAAACCGTCATGTCTGTTATGACAAAGACTGGTTTAAAAAATTGTTGACACCCAATTTTGACCCGCCACGATAAGAATTAATTTTGAGCTTCCTAATTTTCAAACAAGTTGAAATAATTGATTTTGTGAAAAAACTCAAAATATTTCTCAAGTTTTAAAAATGATTTTACTTATTTATGTGATTTTTAAATAATTAATGTGTTTTATATAGGTACATATATTCAATTAATTTATTTTTTAAGTAGTTGAGATGCATCACGAGTATTTTTATGCGTGTGAGTTAAATATTTTATTAATATAATTTAGTCTTAATTATAGTTATACTTTTACGACAATTAGTTTAATTATTTTATGATTAAGATTGATTATTTTATTTCGTGAAAGGCAATAAGCTCATTAATTAATTATATTAATTCGTCCTATTTAAGTTTAATCGAATTTGCTAAATTAAACTCGATGTGGCTAAATTCTTAAATTCAAAAGACTAATTTTGGGCCCTTTTCTTTAATTTTCAGCGGCCCAAGTCCAATTCCAGCCCACTTTTAATATACCCAATCCCCTTGACCCGGCCCACATTTTCTTGTTCAACAAAATAAACCCATTTCAACAATATACACATACAACAATACAATATCCGACCCCCTGCCAGCTTCTTCTCCAGCGAAACCCAGGAACAACAACAATTCCCAGCAGCCCACTCCATCCCCACCTCCAACCGACCAATCCAGCCCAATTCCCATCTGACCCGGCCCACTTGCTAATTCCAAAAAGGTCCAGAACGTTAATCTCAGCAGCAGCTCCAACAATTCCTCACGCGAGAACACACAATAACGCGCTCACTGAAGCAGACGGCGAAGCGGTGAGGAACGCGGAAAAACAACACTGTGATTTTTGTTTCTTCTCCAACATCTCTCTCAACCAAGTACTATGGCAGCAACACGCTGTTTTTGCCCTTTCCTCTTTCGAAATGGGGCGAAAACTTCATAAAAGGGTGTTTGTCCAAAATAGTGAAAGATTTTGATTTTTTGAATTTTGAATTGGGCCTTGATTTATCCGATTTTTTGTCCGTTTCTCCTATTTCTTAACCCTATTCTCCTTTCTATATAATTACTTTGGTTCACTGTTGAAAGGAGAGATTTTTGAGTTTGAAAAATTGGTGTTAGAGACAATCATTAGAGAAAATAGTGGAAAGATTGGGAGTGGGAGAAAAGTATTAGAAAGGAAGAAATATACTTAAGCCATAGTTTCTAACGGCATAAAGAGATTAGAAATCTTGATTTCGCTCAGCCTTTGCCATCGTTTGCATTGTTTGTTCATCCAAGTTCCCGAAACTCTCCTTTGGTGTGAAGTTGTTGTGCATTCTAGCTCGTTGTTGTCCATTCGCTGTCCCCGAAAAGGTAAACATTTTTTTTATCTTAACCCGTTTTAGTTTGTATTTTGTTAGTGAACTGAAACTTTTCTACAGATTCTTTTGTTCCTCCTTGTTTGAATGCCATGCCTTCGTTTTTTCTTGGTTCATTGTTGATGTTTGATGT